TTCCTACACTCCTAGTGTAGGCTATCTTTTTGGCACATACTCCTTAGTGATGCTAACTAGGCAGGCACACCCACTTGCCTTGGCATGTTTTAAGGATGACCCAAGCTGTAAACCCCAACATGTAAAAGACATATGTTCTCTTCTTTGTGTAATTTCAGGCACCAAAATATGCCTACACATAGGGGTGTATGCATACAGACACACACATTTTCCTTTTTGCCTGGTAGAAATATGCTTCTGTGATGTTCTTTCTCCTCCCACACATGCCCCTCCATGGCTGGCACATCTCCTAATTACCTCCATCTACTCCCTCCCCATAGACCTTTCGTGTGTATATTTTGGCACACATTCTCTTGGTTCTGCCTAGTTCCTTTCTCTCCCTCTTTCTTTGCCTGCCTCCCTCCTTCTCCCTCCTCTTCACAACTCTTCAGAAAATTTGTTAAACTATACACTCTTTATTATTAATGTACATTTATGAAAAATTCTTCACAGTTACAAAAGTGCATGGTTATAAAATCATCTCCATACAAAGGTTGGCATCTTCCCTTTTCCCACCCCTTCCCAGCCCTCCCACCCCCAGTCATGAGCACTCCGCAGGGCTGCAGTTAGGGAAATTGAGAGCTTTGTGGATCCAGAGCTCTGCACTCAGTGCCATGGCAAACTCCATGGTGATTTATGAAGGACCTTGCAACTTAATTTCTCTCATTTCCCATTTGCCTCCTTCTAGGGTGATGAGAGCAAATGAGATCTTCTAACTTTGAGAAGATGTCCTAATGAGGAATGGACAAAGGTGTCTCCTTATGTTCTTCTAGAGTTGGAAATGAGGAATAGATAAAGATGTATCTTTATATTCTTTTAGAGCTGAAAATATTGTCAGAGCCACGTTAACAAAGACATCTAGGGGGAAGTGAAGGTTGTAGGTCTTGCTTGTTGGTTGAACAGAAATACTTGCCTTGGTCTTTTTAAATTTTATACATTAAGTGCCAGGAAACTCTACAGCAATTCTAGGCACCTATTTCTGTAGGGATCCCTGGGAATGGAGAAGCAGAGATGAGAGTTTTTCTGAGCTTGACCAGAAGTAATTAGTCTAGAGTAGTGTGAATGTGGGATCTTTTCAAAGAACAATTTTCTTGGCCTACACCTTGGTCATCATAGCCCTAATTGGTTGGATAAACTTTGATGTTCTTGATTCCAGCCTGAAGGAAGCTCCTATGACTAGGACAAGTCTCTGCAGGGTAGGGATTGGAAGGAAGCAGGGAGAAGTCAGACTCTCATGAGACTGCCTCAACCATAGGTTTTGCTTTTCTTTTTTAATTTTCTGAGTAGCCAGCCCCACTCAAAGCCTGATTGGTGTCCATCTTGGTGTATCACAAGATGCAACAGATAGAAGGCTGAGTGGATAGTGTCAGAGAACTGAATGTAATTCCAGTGAGGTCTGCCCCACGCCAGCAGAGAGCCAACACACTAAGAACCTTATAGACAAACACAGTGACTCAGAGATACCCTAACACATCACATTAAACAGTTTGGAAAAGAAATGATGAAGCCTTGTGGCTATGGGTTCTTGGTCACTGGTGAACATTGGTAGGAACGTTTCTAACCAGGATTTCTAGATTGCCTCTAGAAGTGTGCTTCTTTGTTGCTTCTGACAGCCTGAACAAGGCAGTGGTGGTGGTGATGGGGAGCAGGGCATTCCTTGGCAGTAGGGAAGTTGAACAAACCACATCACTCCCCTCATTGTGCTTCAGTTAACTGGGGACCTTCTAGCAGCTGGAGAATCTCTGTGCTTTAAAGCCATGTATCCTCCTCAGTAAAGTTTGTCATTACTAAAGATCATATTGTTCTACTAGAAAGAACATCTGATCTTAAGGGAAATTTGTCATCTACTTTGGTCCTAGTTCTATGTGAAAAAGTACATTATCTTGAAATACATTAGCTATATACTAATGAACAAGAGTCCTTAAGAGATGATCAGAGGTGCACATGGTATTCCTCTAAGGGACGCTTAACTATTTGTGTCAGGACTATTACTTCTAAGAACTTCTCTCTAAATATCTGAGGCTGTCACCTAGAATGGTAGAGAGCAGCCCAAGTCTACCCTTCCTTGGCCATCACAGAAGAGACAGGGTGCAGTTCTTCAGATGTCCCAGGAGCAGAGCTTTAGTCCAGATAGATGTAAGAAGAAATTCAAGGGACACAGAATTCAAGTCCTCCAAGTCCAGCAAAGTCTCTGGGGACTCTTTGGGTTGACCAGCTCAGGGACGTATCCACCCATTGCTGCTGAGTTCATTCTGACTCGTGGAGAACCCGTTGTGTCACAGTAGAACTGTGCTCCATAGGGTTTCAACGGTTGATTTTTTCAAAGTGCAGCTCCAGGCCTTTCTTTCAAGGAGCATCTGGGTAGACTTGAACTTCCAACTTTTGATTAGTAACGGAGGATGTCAACAATTGGCACCATGCAGGAACTCCCAGGGAAGCATCGTGGAAGAAAGACTTCCTGGAAAGTCACGTGTTATCCTCCACCATGCTTTTCAGGCCTTGCTGAGAGATTGGGGTGATGTAAGCCTACTAGAGCTGGGGGCAAGGCAGAGCATTTCTGTTCTAATTCATTCCAACTGGCCCTGTCACCATGTTAGATTGTGATTGTGCTTTGAAGTCTAGTCAGAGATATGCTAGTGTTGTCTCTTGTCTCCTCCTCCTTCAGGGTCCCACTGCCCTCTCCACCTAACCCATAGAGCTCATTACCCATAGGTTTCTCTACACCCTTAGTTTCTCTTACAACACAACACAGCAGTGCTTATGTAGGAGTGGTAACACAGCTTCCTTTCCTGTTTCCCAAAGATCCATTTTTTTACATGACTGCCCCCATGGCTATCAATTCTAATGCTGCCTCTATGCTTCAGAGGCTGTGATTTGCCCTACAATGATCAGATCTAAATCTGCACAGTAGCTGATCTACTAACATGCTCATGTTTGCTGGACCTAGGGCCCTACTACCCAGCCCTCCGATGCAGTCTCTTCTTCAGGCAAAGGGGAGAGTACTGGAAAGAGAACTGAGTTGGAGCCAGGAGTCCCAATCTTCCACTTAACAAGCCACACCCTCTCTTGCACCTCTGTTTTCCCCTCCATAAAACAGAAGTAGTGATGTTTGCCTGCTTCCCACACAGGGTTGTGAAAAGTCAAGGAGGATACGCAGAAGCATTTCATGAACTGTCCTGAGCTGAATTAATATAGTGAAGATTATAATGAAGTCGATGAAGATGATGACAAGGATGACAAAAACAATGATGATAATTGTGCTTTGCATCCAAAGCTACTTAATATTTTACTGACCGATTAGGCACCATTTCTCTGGATGGAGCTACCTATCACCTTCCTTCTGCATTTATCCTGATATCCTTGGGTCAGTTACTCAACTTATGAGCCACAGTTAATTTATCTGTAAAATGGGAAAAATAAAACCATTATTTCTAAAAGAATTGAAATAAATGAGTCAATATATATAAAGGTGCACAGTGCAGTGCCTGGCCCTTATAGGAACTTCATCAACAGTACTTGAATCCAAATTTGTATCTATCACTTGAGAAGGAATTTTGATTTTCACAAACTTGGATGAGGCAGTAGAAACAGCACAGCCTTAATTTTGTTCATTAAGTAGCAAGTGACTTTAACCTCTTTGAGCCTTAATTTCCTCATCTGTAAAATGGGAACAATAAGGCTCATCTTACAAGATTGTTGTGTGCACTACAGGGACTGGACTATGGAGAAAGCTTATCACAGTGCCTGGCACTGGGTAGTGCTTGGTAATTAATAGCTCTCTCACCTAGGTGGTGCAAATGGTTTGTGCTAGACTGCTAACCTAAAAGGCGGTGGTTTGAACCCACCAGTGGTACTGTGGAACAAAGGCCTGGCAATCTGCCTAGAAAACCTTATGGAGCAGTTCTTCTAACACATGGGGTCACCATGAGTCGGCATCACTTGACAGCAACCACCTGCCACCACCACCACCACCACCATCAACACCACGCTTATGCTTAAGTGGGTGAATTGATTAGAAGAAAGAACAAGCCCTCCTTCATCTCTTGGTACTGTTGTGCTACAGGTCAGTAGCTCACAGTGCACTTTCCTGGTGAGATCTCTTAATGTGAGCACCATGGGGAAAACAGCTCACTCTTGCTGCCCACTCATTCTGCTTCCCTCTTCTGAAGCACAAGCTTGAGTGAGAGACAGGAGTCTAGGGCAGGAGAAAGGACACTGAATGGTGTCAGTCCTCAGCTCGCTGCCTGGGACCTCACCAGCAGGCTGCAGTAGGCAATGGAGAATGTGGGGAGCAGTCACTGAGAGGTGGTCTCACCTTGTAGCTTCTGCTAGGAGAAAGCTGAGAGGGCTGGCAGGAAGGCGTTCTCACTCTCTGGAGGCAGTGGTTTGCAATACTCAGAGTTGACAGACTGGGTGTTACAGGGCAAGTTTTGGTTCTGTGCAACTCTCCCTTTCTGCACTTAGGTCATGAGGGATGGTTCATGGTTCTCAACACACCATGCACCTTCCGGACTGTGTCGTTTGCTTATGCTCACCCTTCTGTGTCTACTTGACAATTTTCTGCTCATTCTTCTTCACTCAGCTCCCAAATCACCTCTACTTTCATAATTTTCTTAGATTCTGTTAGGCAGATCAATGACCCTCTCTCCTGGGCTTCAGTACCTATGTGCTCAGAGTACTGACCTATCATCTTAGAGGGAATAGTGTTCTAATCTCTCTTCCCTACTAAAGGTAAGCACCTCAAGGACAGGGACTGGGTCAGAGTCATCTCATTGTTTTCAATTCCCAGCACAGTGCCTGGCCCAAAGTCAATGCCCAGAGAAAGTGAGCTTCCTGACCTTGTTTCTATGACAACAGTGGCCAGGATATCATGCATGGAACCAGAGTGGGTAACAAGCAAGGGTGTCCAGCAGCTAGTGGCAGTGGCATTCAGCAGCATGGAGGGGTGTGGGGCTCTCACATCAAATCTCTTCCTCTTCACTTGCTTTGCTCCAGCGGTGGCAGCAGTTGGCTGTGATGCCCAGAAGAAAGTTGGTGGCCACGGAGGCGATGGAGACCACGAAGCCCACGAAGGCGATGAAGAGGTAATCATCCAGGGTCAGCGTCAGGTGGCAGGCTTTGAAGCTCTCCTCGGTGAGGGAGAAGAGTGGGGCACCCTCAACTTCAGGGGGGCCCCGACACTCGGCCAGCTGAGAATCTGAAATACAGTGCCCAGGGAAGGTGAGGTCCAAAGGTTGGGGGGTCCCCACCACTCCCAGAGGAAGGGAGGAAACACATTTTGTGAATTTCTTCCATGTGCCAAAAACATTACTTACCGTCTTTATTCCCCCCCCCCCAAAACCCTGAAGGCAGGTATTTTTATATCTATTTTTATAGATGTGAAAATCACAACTTGGAGAGTTTGATAACTTCCATAAAGTGCTACAGCTATCACTAGTGGTAGGCCTGGAGTTTTGATGGGACACTGTCATGTCTTATGGAGTCCCTGGATGATGCACATGGAGTCCACCCAGAGGTACCTCTGGTTGACCGCTAACCAGGAAGTTGGAGGTTCAAACTTACCAGTGATCTACTTCTGAAAAACTAGCCATTGAAAACTACGGAGCACAGATCTCCTCTGAGACACATGGGGTTGCCTGAGTTGGAGTCAACGAAAACTGGCATCATCTTTCACAATTGCCTTCTATCTGATCCCTGGGATTCTGCCCTCAAGCCATCCCAACACAGTTGAGTGAGTCTTTCAGACCTAAAGTCTGATCCTGTTACTCTGCTTGAAACTCCTACAGAGTCAAAGCCAAAGTCCTCACAGTGGCCTCATCTCTTCCTCTCTCCTTGTTAACTTTGCTCCAGTTACACTCACCTCTTGACCATTCTTCCATGACCCCAAGCATGTTCCTTCTTAATTGGAGGCCTTTGTATTTTCCCCCTAGCTAAAATGCTTCTTCCCCTGATATTTGCATGGCTCAGTTCCTTAATCCCTTTGGATCTATGCTCAAATATCACCTTATTAGTGAGCTTTCCCCTCACCATCCTACATAAAATAGCAGTCCCCACTTCACCTTGCCCCTAGCCTGTCCCTGTCTCAACTACTCTGCTTGATTTTTCTTCATAATAATCATCACCGTGTGACAGTCTACTTATGTTTTTATTGTCCATCTCCTTCAACTTGAATAGTAGCTCCTCCTGGAATATCCTCAGCATCAGAACAGAGTCCTGTCCATACTAAGTGCTCAATAAATCTGTTCAGTGAATACATGAATGAAGACTCTACCCAGCTTCAAAGCATTGGGTCTTTCTTCTTCCTCAGGTGGATGTTCCAGATACATAGAGTGTAGAGTTTAGAGTAGGGAACTGTTGCCTGAGTCAAAATCTTCTCTCCACCCCTCACTAGTTGTGTGTTTGTGGGTAAGTTCTTTTCCTTCTGTGCCATGGTTTCTTTATCTGTAAAATGGGACTAGTAATAGTATATGGGAGCTCTGGTAGCATAGTGCGTAAGGCACTTGACTGCTAACCAGAAGGTTGGCAGTTCAAATTCACCAGCCACTCCTTGGAAGGAAGGTTGGGCAATCTACTTCTGTAGCGATACTGCCTCAGAAACCCAAGGAGGGGTCGCTATGAGTCGAGTCCGACTTGACGGCACATAACAACAACAACAACAATAGTATATACCTCATAAGGTTATTATCTATAGATTACATATTCCTGGTACATAATAAAAGGAGCTCTGGTGGTACAGTGCCTAACGCATTTGACTGCTAACCAGAAAGTTGGAGGTTCAAACTCACCAGCCACTCTGAGGAAGGAAGACTGGGCAATCTACTTCCGTAAAGATTTATTGCCTTAGAAATTAAAAGGGAGTCACTATGAGTCTGAATCAACTCAGTGGCAGTGGGTTTGGTTTGGTTTTGGTACATAATAAGCGTGATGTAAAAACCAAGCCATTGAATCACCTGTGACTCAGGGTGACCCATGTGTGTCAGACTAGAACTGTGCTCCATACGATTTTTATGGCTGAATTTTCAGAGGTCGATTATCAGGCCTTTCTTCTGAGGCAGCTCTGGGTGTACTCAAACCTCTAACCTTTTGCTTAGCAACTGAGCTCATTAACTGTTTGCACCTCCTAGGGACTCTGTGTATATGTGTGCTTTTATTACTGAAAGGTAAAGAAAGGTTGACATTTCTTGATATGTTGGTGGGGGTCATGTTCTGTATACAAGGTTCTGTAGGAGGGAGCTTCTCCTTTTGTGGGGCTACCATTTTCTCCAACATTGATTGTCTCCTTTTACCCTCCCAGGGTCACTTTTATGAGGTGCACGCTGGATGTCGATGGTCGCACCTTGTTCCCTTGGAAGTAAGAGTGGCACACAGGTGGCTGTTCTGCTAGACCCTGTGATTATAGAGGCAGCATTTGTGGCCACTAATTCCTCCTGGGCATCATAGCCAAATGCTGCCACCCTTGCAGCAAGGCCAGCAAAGAGGAAGCTTTTGAGGAGCCAGGCACTCCTTCATTCGTTGGATGACTATGACTCAGTCTCTCACCTTGGGCAAGTAGATGTTGCCTTCCTTTCATGCTCTTCTTTTAGGGAAAGAGAGATAATCTGACCTAAATTGTCTAAGAGGATCAATGTGAAGAACTTTTCTCAATTATGTGCTATACTAAAGCTCTTTATTCAAGCTGCAGTTTTTGAGAGCAGAGAATAAAATGATAAATTTGGATCAACCCTTTTGAGAAATGAATGAGCATCATTATCTTTAGAATGGAGAGCAGGGTTTGAATGCAACTTGCCCAAAACCCTGGGTTGAGTGGTCTCTGTAGGTTGGGTACTCAATAATCCAGACTTGGCCCAGGCCCAGATGGTGTCTGACTAGAGTTGACACCTCAAGGGCTCTCCTCTGCAAAGTGGAAGACCCTGAACTTCCAAACCTCTTGTTCAAGTGTGTGTGTGTGTGTGTGTGTGTGTTTGTGTGTGATGGTGAGATGGTGAGAATGAATGGTGAGGGATGTGAGGACACGTACATGGACCAGCCAGAGAAGACTCTGAGGGCAATGGTGGGATTCTGCAGGAGTCCAGGATGGGAGCTGGATCAGACAGTGCTCTTTGATGAATCATTGGGTAAGTCTTGAAGTACACTTATATCCTAAGGGTACCCTTACATCCTGCTCTGTTGGAATTTGTACAAAAAGCACAAACAATAATGGGAATTGTATGAAGAAAAAGGGAGGAAGAGGTAGAAAAAGACATAAAGGGAAGAGGATCACCTAGTCCTACCTATCCCAGCAAGTTCTGGTCCCCAAGAGGAAGAACCCTGGGGGATGTGACTTGGTACCAAGTGCATTCTTTGGAGAAACAGGAGCCCTAGATTCCTAGCTGTGGCTTACTTGATTTCCCATTGCAGGTCCCTCATCTGTACTGATAGTGGATCCTCCCTTGCTCATTAGCTGGGAGACTGTAATTCTATGGAAGGGCAGTGAGGACCTCAGAGATCACAGAGAAAGAGGAGCCCATGGATCTGAAGAGTACCTCAGACTGCCCTTTCTGTCCTCAGTGAAGGGGAGGTGGAGGGGGGCACTGAGATTGAGCAAATGGGGAAACTGCTCCAGCAGCACCTCCTCTTGCCCCCCACCTTCACCCCATCTCAGTCCGCAGCTATTTTGGTCCCAGAGAAGTTCCTCCTACAGCTCTGTGGAAACACTGGAATCGTGACCCACGGCCCCCCTGAGCTATTTTGGTCTCGGGCTCCCCACTCAGTTCTCTTCATCCCACCAGATTCAGCGTCGCTTCTTCTGAACACACACTGAGCCCAGGCACCAGGAAAGTTCCTGGGACAGGACCTCAAGCTTTTCCTGTCGTTACATTGCAGGGGCTGTACCTAGACTCAGTGCCGTACGTGGGAGGGTTGGTGATAGAGGGACTGCAGCTGAACATTGCCCACTCTCAAGCCAGCTTGGGTACCAGTAGGTGAGGCCAGGGCCCATCGTACCTGTGTGGTTTGGGTTCCTTCAGGCCACAATCCACCCTCCAGCTCAGAATGGTTGGCTAGGTTGGTACATCTTAACTCTTCCTCTCACCTCCTCACCCTGTACCCAAACCTTATAGAACTCTGCTGAGGCCCTTTGACCTGGCCAGAACTCAGGCCCTGACTCACCTGTTAGCTCAGCCTAACTCTTCAGGTACATCCACAGGACAGCCAGCCTGACTGCTGGGTTCGAATCCTGACTCCACTTAGCAGCTACATGACTTGGGATAAGTTACTGAATCTCTCTGCACCTGCTCTGTAACATGGGGCCTCTTATATCAGAAGATGAACTGATACATGCCATATGTTTACAGTAGGTCCTGGCATGAAGTGAGCACTATAATGTTGGCTGTTACCATTTCTTAGAGCACTTCCTCAGCACCCAGTGAACTTAAAGAGATGTCTGGTAGAGTAGAACAGGGCTTAACAATCAAATAAATCTGTTTTTTTTTTTTTTTTTTTTTTTTTTTTTTTTTTTTTTCATTTCTTTGCCTATTTCTAAATGAGTGACATTGTGGAAACCTTTTAATTATTCTCAGTCTCAGCCTGTAAACTGAAGATAACAAAGCCCTGCCCAGTCTAGTCGCCACTGAGTAGGCTCTGACTTACAGTGACCCCATGTATGTTAAGAGTTGAACGGTGCTCTGTAGAGCTTTCAATTATATTATACATATAATTAGATATATGTATGTGTATAAAGTAGACTGCCAGGCCTTTCTTCTGAGCCTCTGAGTGGTCTTGAACCTGTAAGATTTTGGTTTGCACCACTCAGTAGACTAGGGGCTACTAGGAGTCAGAATAGGCTGGACAGCACACAGCAACAACGACAATCTTTATGGGAGCAGATCACTGGGGCTTTCTCCTGTGGAGCTGCTAAGTGGGTTCAAACTGCCAACTTTTTGGTTAGCAGCCAGGTGCTTCACTATTGTGCCCCCAGAGGAGAAGCTCATTATACGCTATTACTCGCCATCTGTTTGCTCTCTGTCTGCCTCATTGGTTCACAGAAACCACAGAGGCAAGGGCCTGTTTTATTAACTGGTGAGAGCCCTCAGCTTCCAACCTGTGTGGCAAATGGTCAACAAACACTTGTTGAATGACAGAGTTGCTGAATGCAGAGCTCAGGGCCGGAGAGCTCTAAGTCCTTGCCTCTTCTTTGGGAGCCTGGTTTCACGGAGGCCAACCCTCCGCCCCGCAGCCCTGTCCCGCCCTTCCCCCTCACCTGCCGTGCAGCGCTGGATCCGGTTCCGCAGCCACTTCAGCAGCGGTTCCATGGTGCAGCCGCACACCCAGGGGTTGCCACCGATCTGCAGGGTCACCAGCCCTGGCAGGCCCTCGAGGGCCTCCAGGCTGAGAAAGGCCAGGCCTCCAAAGCTGAGGTCCAGATCTCGGAGCTGCACCAGGCCCTGGAAGGCTTGGGGGTGCACCCTGCGCAGCCACGGGTTATGGCTCAGGTCAATGTGCACCAGCCCGTGAGCCTCCCGGAACATGTCAGCTGGCACGTGGCTGAGGTTGTTGTAGCTCAGATCCAGGTGTGCCAAGCGCTTGGCATGCAGAAAGAGGCCTGGGGGCAGCTCCACTAAGGAATTGTTGCGTAGATCCAGCACCCAGAGCTCCATGTAGCATGTGAGGTAGCCGGCTGGCACGGTGGCAATGCGGTTGTGGGCCAAGCTGAGGTTTCGGGTGTCCATTGGCAGGTCTGGGGGCACGGAGAAGAGGCGTTGGCTGCTGCAATCCACCACTTGGTTATGGCACGTGCAAAGGACTGGACAGCTGGTGCCGGCCTCGGAGTGCATCACCCCGGCTGCCAAGAGGAGGGAGACCAGCAGCATGGCTGGATGGGGTGGCCCCGGCCAGGGCAGCTGGGCCCAGGAGTCACCCATTTTAGGCAGCTGGTAACAGCAGTATTGAAGGGAGGCCATTGGGGCTGGGGCTGTGTCCATGGATTCAAGAGCCAGTGACACAGGAAGGCAGCTACATCAGGGGCCAGAGACCTGGGAGGTGGGGCTTTGGAGCACGTGGTCTCATGCCTCAAGCCTTTCCTGGGAGCTTCTAAGCATGAAAGTGCTCCCTAGGAGACCAGCAGGAAATCGTCTTTGGTGGCTAGGGAGCAAGAAACCCCATCCAGGTCCCCAGGGTCTGGAAAGATGATCAAAACATGAGACAGGAAGGGCAAGAGGAGGGGGCTGGCCCAGCTGCCAGTAGTTCCGGGAAGGCTCTCTGCCGACCTTCCATGCCCCTCTTGCCCATGTCTGCTGGATGCTTCCAACTGCTGCTTTGCATGACAGGTGGGATTGGGGACGGGCTAGGGAGAGAAGGAGGTGAAAGGCCCCCCTTTAAAGCCCCTGGCACTTTTTCTGAGAAACCCTGCCCCAAACCCAGAACTGATTAGAAGACCAGGCTTGCATCCGGGTCTCCAGCAGCCAAGGTCTCAGAGGTCATTTCTCGTAGTGGCCTGGTGAGCTTGAGTCCATGGGGCCCCAGAGGTGGGCATTTTGGGAAGAGATCCCAGAGGGCAGTGGGTCTCCATGGGCCTCTTGAATTCCTGAGTCAAGCAATCTCAGTTGCTGCTAGAGTCCTCAGGGAGGCTCTTTCTTCCCCAGGGTGGGGAGAACCCCCAGTGGCACCCACTTTCTGCACTGCTGGGACTGGGAAGAGCCATGTGTCCAAGAGGCAGTGCTGGTGGTCAGCTAGGGGAGCTCTGGCCACTTATCCACACCAGCACCTCCTTCTGTTTGGCTCTGTGTTCCACAGGCAGGGGCAGGATTCCTTCTGTCAACAAGGAAAGCACTCAGGCAGAGAAATCCAGTGTCCTTCCGTCTAGGTACCTGCTCCCACCTTCCAAATGATCTCTCCCTGCCTGCTCTCCTCTCTCTTTTACTCCTCAGCCTCAAAGTTCTCTGCTGACGTCCTCAGGTGTGGCCACTGTTTGCTCTCATTGTTGTCATCCACTAACCCTCCCCCCACCCAGACCTGCACTGTCCTTGGATGCATTTTCTTCTCCTCACAGCCCCACCCCCATCAGGGCAAAACACCCCTCCCATGCACACCCCCTTAGAAAACACGCATACACCCTCTGGCCATGTTGCACACCCTTTCAGACACTCTCAGCACTACTGTCTCACGCACTCACATGCACACACACACATACACACATCACTGTTCTCCTGGAACCCCGTATTTTGCCTGTCCCATGCTCCTAACTCCCCACTCCTCTCTCCAGCTCCCCTCTGCACACTCCAGCAAAGCCCTCTTTCCACTCTATTCCCACCGTCTCTCACCCCCAGTGCACACCCCTAATCCCAGCATCCTTTTCCACAAATACTCCACTGCCCCTGCCCCCTCCCGCCCACACCCACACTCCGTCTCCTCCTCGCAGGCGGAGGGACAGAGATCGATGACACACCTTGGACCCTCCATCCCACGCCCACGTGGCCCCTCCCATCTCCATACCCACCGGATGTCCTCACTGATCCTCCCCTCGAGGGCTGCCTCTTCGGGCATTGCCTCTCATTCCAGCCTCAATCTAGGCGCCCTGGGAAAACACCCCAGCTCCCCTATATCCCAACACATTCCTCGGACCCCCCAGGTCTGCCCCTCGCACTCCCACAGGCGCTCGTGAGCTTACTCACTCGGTTCCAAGGACACAGCCATCAACCTGCCGCAGGCACGGGTCTCCCTTGCTCATCCTGGAGTCCCCCATCTCACTATCTCGCTGCTTCAGGAGAACAGATTGCCTCCCTAGCTCTTCCCCTCCCCCGGCCTCTCCTCCTCCACATCTCCTGGATCCCGGGGCAGCATCCTCTGTGGCTTCCTGTCCCGATATCCCAGTACGCTCTCTTCTATCCGAGAGGGAGATCAGAGAGAGGATGCTTAGAAGAAAGTTCACAAAATCCGAATGCTCGCTGTAACTCCGCTGGTGCTGAGGCTGCTGGGGTCCGCGCTTCCGCCAGGTCTTCCCCTCCTCCCCCTCATCTCCCTCTCTCCTCCTCCTGAATCCCTCCTCTCTCCCTCTCTCCTTCCCCTTTTTCCTCGAGGGCCAGGTACTGACGTTTCACTGTCTCTTAGCAACTGCCTCCACATCTGAGCAACAGGAGAACTGGCTATGGACCCCGCCAAGATGAAGAGTGAGGAGAAAGAGGAAGCTGGCATAATCCACAGCCAGCCACAGGATCCTAGTGACAGGGCAAGGGCAACAAGGCAGAGAAAGGAGGCAGGACAGGGGCAGTTCCTGGAGGAGGAGCAGGCAGGAGAGAGGGCAAAAAGGTTTATCAAGAGGAGTTGGGAATAAGTGTAAAGGCATCAATCTGGAATCTGAGACAAGGGAGTGGGGAGGGGGTTTAGGGACATTAGAATCAGAAGAAAAAATTAGAGGCAGCTTGGAAAGAGAAACAGATTTAGAAGGGGGTCCAGAAAAAATGGGAGAGGGGCAGGGTGGGGAGCAACAAAGGCATGAGTAAAGATTGAAAGAAAAGAGAAGTGCATGTGACAAGTTTACTCACTTGGTGGGATGTATCTTCTCAGTGGATTTATAGCATCTGTTTCCTTGGGTCTGAGTGTGTTTTGTTCACTGGATACCAGGTGATGGGTTTGCAAGGGACAATTATAGGAGATGAGAGCTTTTTGGTGTTTCTTGATGGTCCCTAAGTCCTGATCCCATGAGCTCTTGGGGTTAGGAGGTCTTGGGCTGGAGAAGACTGACCTCCCCTTAGCATGGGACCTACGGCCTTTGAGAGGCAAAAGGCCTACTGCTAATTCTAAATGGGATACTTAGGGTTCTAGAGGTATTTAGATCTGTCTCTAGGGTGAGTGGAAGATGCCAACAAAACCTTGTGGTCCTTTCTTCTTTCTCAAGGGCCCAGGGACTCTGTCTGCTATTCTGTCCCCGTTTCTTGAAACTCCCTGCTCCCTTCCACCCCAGACTGACTTCAGATAAGGGTGAAATCTTTGCAACATTTCTTATCTTGGTAACTCCTGAAACCAGTTTCTAGCTCCCTGATTTTATTTAAACTGACTTGACAAGTTGTTTGGTGAAAAAGTTGGCTCATTTCTTCATTTTAATAAAGATGCATTGAGTACTCATTGTGTGCTGGACACTAGCTAGATGGTGGGAGTTATGGATTGAATTGTATCCCCCCCAAAAGAAGTGTTTTAAGTCCTAACCTCTATGCCCGTGGTCATAATCCCATGGTTGTCTTTGTTCTGTTAATGAAGGAAGGTTAGTGTAGGTGTATCTTGAGTCAATGTCTTTTGAGTTCTAAAAGAGATTAAACAAGTGAGCAGAGTAGAGATGGGAGAAGGGAGATGCCAAGGCACATGGAGATCTCCAAGGAACCAGGGAGCTGAAGAGACAAGAACCTTCCTCCAGAACCGATAGAGAGAGAGAGAAAGGCTTCCCCTAGAGACGACACCCTGAATTCAGACCTTTAGCCCCCTAAACTGTGAGAATATAGGTTTCTGTTGGTTAAAGCTATCCCCTTCAGAAGGAAGGTTGGGCAATCTACTTCTGTTGTGATACTGCCTTGGAAATCCCAGGAAGGGTCACTAAGAGTCAGATCCAACTTGATGGCAGTGAGTTTGGTTTTGGTTTAAAGCCATCCCTTTATGGTATTTCTGTTATCACATCACTAGATAATTAAGACAGTGAGCTATGTAGCTGCCGTCCAGATGGATGTAGGCTTGTCTTCATGAAGCTGACATCAGCCCTGTTTTTACTTAGCTGACTTGGGGCTTGCATTTAAATCATAACCACTCCTCGGAAGGAAAGTTGGGCAGTCTACTTCTGTAGTGATACAGCCTCGGAAACCCAAGGAGTGGTGGCTATGAGTCGGGTCTGACTCCACGGCACATAACAACAACAACAACAAGGTCTTCGGTGGAAACGAAAAGGAAAATGGAGTAATAGGATACAAGTGTGAGGTTATTTTGATTCGGGACGCTTACAAAGCTCTCAAAACCGTTGACATTGTTTTCTTTGACAGGATCCTTTCTCTTACACAGTTATAGAAGGTCTGCTTCCCTTTCCACCACCCTCTTATATTATGCTATTTTGCATCATTCATGTTCTACAGTGTCTAACACAGAGCAACATGGCAGCCACTTAATACATATTTATATTTTGAATTGGCTGAGGTAAATGTGATTTACATCCCCCGCCTCCTTTTTTAAGGGAATGTTTTTTCAATCTCTCTTACAAGTTTAGAAATAAAATGCTAATCTTAATCCACAAAATACAACACATGGAAAAGAGTAATCCATTACAACCAAGGACTGTTGCCCTCATTTTGAAAAGCAAAGGTGACGAAACAAACACCTTACCATAAACTGAAAAATGGTAGAAAACATAATTATCTCAACAGAAGCTAAGAAATGTATTCAGCACAACTCATTATTTAATGTTGACTACAGGCCACTAAAATGAAAACAAAAATAAAAAGGAATGGGGTTTTCAGTGCAACATGAAGTTTATATTTACAATTAAACTAAAAAATATGACCAAAGGAAAAATGTTAATAACAATTTCCTTAAAAAAGAAACCAAAGACCAAACCCACTGCCATCAAGTTGATTCTGACTCATAGTGACCCCCATTGGGTTTCCAAGGCTGTAAGTCTTTATGGAAGTCGATCGCCCCACTTTCCTTCTGCTGACCTTCTGGTTAGCAGCCAAATGCATTATCCACTATGCCACTAAAGCTCCTTACTAATTGGAGGCAAGAATTCCTTCATCACAACTGAAGCTCCAGTTTTCTCACCTGTGTGACGGGGGTCATAACAGTGGTACTTAGCTCATGGAGTTGTTTTGCGTTACAGGAGCTATTATTAATAAAGCACTTAGAATAGTACACAGTGTGCACTATAGGTATGCTTGTTAAATGAACAAATACAGTAAAGTAAAATAAAATAAGCAAATAGTAGAGTAATAAAATTGCTGGGATAGTTATGGAGAGAGAAAAACAAGTAACATTGCACAAAAATAAGAAACAACAACAAAAGATCTAGTTTGCAGATGAT